AACAACATGAATCAAACATGCACTTTATTTATTTACACTAAATGTCAAAAGTACATCAAATTGGATTGAAGCTAAGGGCATACAAAACTGTCTAACATGTACTACCCTCCTAGAGTCATTTGTGGGTAAAGTCATGGCTTCCACCCAATTAGACACATAATCAACATCTACTAGATGTACTTATTACCAAAAGAATTCGGGAAGGATCCCATGAAGTCTATACCCCATACGTAAAAAATTTCACAAATCAAGATATTAGTGAGGGGCATTTCATTCTGTCAGGAAATGTTACCTGCTCTCTGACATTGGTCACATGCCGACACATACCTATGAGCATCCTTGAACAAGGTAGGCCAATAGAAACCTGATTGCAAAACCTTGGCTGCAGTGCAGTTAGCTCCGAAGTGGCCTCCCGCTTCTCTATCATGGCAGTACCGGAGCACCGATTCCATCTCCTCCTCGGGGACACACCTCCTTATGATCTAATCTGCACATATCTTGTACAAAAAGGGATCCTCCCACAAATAGTGTTTCRCATCAGAGAAGAATTTCTTCTTCTGCTGATATGAAATGTTCAAATGGATAACATGTCCAGCAAGATAATTTGCAAAATCAGCATACCAAGGTGTAGAATCTACCTTAATGGAGTAGAGCTGTTCATTCGGAAACTCCTCTTGGATGGTGCTGATTGGTAGTCTGTCCAAGCTCTCCAACTTCAGAAATTCCTTGCCTTGAATTTGTGGATTGGCATTCAGGTATGCTGGCATGCTTTGAATCTCCTCATTTTCTTCCCTTGCAGCTCCTCCCTCTTGTATGCAAAGGTCAAGGGGGTTGGCCAACTTGCTAACCTAAAAGCAATCATCAACCGCATAATCAATAACATCAATCATGTAACAAGAATCATCACTAGAGGGTGCATGTTTCATAGCATCAAGCATTTGTAAAATTATTTCCTCATCTTGGATCCTAAGGCTGAGTTGCCCTTGTGGGACATCAATCATTGCCTTCCCCGTAGCTAGGAAAGGTCTCCCTAGGACAAGAGGAACATCAACATCCTCTTGCATGTCTAATACAATGAAATCAACTGGAAAGATGAATTTTTCTACTTTAAGAAGCACATCTTCTATGATTCCCCTAGGATGCTTTATGGATCTATCAGCTAATTGCAATGCAACTCTAGTAGGTTGGGGTTCACCTAATCCTAGTTTCTTAAAAACCAAATATGGCATCAAGTTTATGCTAGCTCCTAGATCACATAATGCCTTATCAATTTTCAAACTGCCTATAGTACAAGGGATAGTGAAACTCCCTGGATCTTTTAGTTTCTGGGGCAGCTTGTTGAGGAGGATTGTGGAGCATTCTTCATTGAGTGCAACAGTAGCTACATCTCCCAATTTCCTTTTATTTGCCAATATCTCTTTCAAGAATTTTGCATAGTGTGGCATCTGGGCTAAAGCATCGGCAAAAGGGATGTTAATATGTAAACTCTTAAACACTTCAAGAAACTTACCGAATTCCCTTTCCAATTTGTGTTGCTTCAGCCTATTTGGAAATGGTACTTACGGCTGTTGGTTTCTCTTCTTCTTTGGTTCAGATTGCTCTTCTTCCTTCTTTTCGGTTTCAAGGGTTGCATCTACCTTGTTTTCAGCCCTTGCTTTCTTCTCTACTTCTAGCACCTCATTACCACTTCTCAAAGTGATAGCCTGCACTTGCTCTCTTGGATTTACTTAAGTATTGCTAGGTAAAGTGCCCGGTATTCTTGCTGAAATCATTTGTGCCAACTGCCCAACTTGATTCTCCAAGTTCTATATTGATGCCTCTTAGTTCTGCAATCTTGTTTCAGCACTAGCTATGAACTTGGTCATCAGCTCCTCTAGGTTAGTTTTCTTTTCTGGCTGATTGAAGTTTTGGGGAAAGGGCTTCACCATGTTCTGATTTGGCCATGACTGATTCAGGTTGTTCCTCCATATGGAGTTAAAGGCACGAGGGTACTGATTTCCTTGCTGCCTTGGAAAGTTGCCAACAAAGTCTATCTGTTCTGGGGACTGCATAAATTGATTGCCAACTTGACATTCAGTGCCAATATGACCTCCCCCACACCATTCACAAGTCACGGACTGAACATGCATGGCTGCCATCTGCATCTCATCTATCTTTTTGTTGAGTGCACCTATTTGCGCAGATAGAGTTGTATATGTGTCCACATTGTGAAGACCTTGCTGCCACCTAACTTGTGCTCTCTCAGAGTTCCATTGGTAGTTGTTTGAAGCCATTTCCTCTATGAGTGCATGGGCAACTTCAGGGGTCTTGTTGTTAATGGAACCCCCGGCTGCCGCATCCATAATGGTCTTGTTGGCTTCGATCAGCCCATTGTAGAAGGTTTGCACTTGCAGCCATATGGGAAGTCCATGATGAGGGACCTTTCTTAACAGCTCCTTGTAACGCTCCCAAGACACATAAAATGACTCTCCATCTTACTGAAAGAAAGTGGTGATGTCATTCCTCATCTTTGCTGTCTTGGATGGAGGAAAATACTTGGAGAGGAATCAGCTAGCCATTTCATCCCATGTTGCTATAGATCCAGCCGGCAAAGAATTCAGCCAAGTCTTAGCTTTGTCTTTCAATGAAAATGGGAACAACCTGAGCCTAACCACATCATCACTCACCCCGTTGTGCTTGAAAGTATCACAAATTTCCAAGAAGTTGGCTATGTGAGAATTCGGGTCTTCATTAGCCATGCCACAAAACTGAACCGTGTTTTGTATCATCTGAATTATGGCTGGTTTGATCTCAAAATTATTGGCAGATATGGCTGGTCTTACAATGCTTAAAGCAGCCCCGGTAAGGGTTGGTTTGGCATAGTCCATCATGGTTCTTGGTTCGGCCATCTCTTCAGTTTCAGCTCTCACTTGTCTAGCAGCTCTAAGGCGTATGCATAGGGTTCTTTCAATCTCGGGATCGTAGGGGATTCCCTCCATTTCAGATCTACTTGTCATAAACTTTACAAGTCAAAGAAATAAAGAAACTAATGTACACCAATAAGAAAAGTAATCTATCAAGCAAGAAAACTACACACTACCAAAACAAGATCAGCAACCAAAGACAACTACAATTGAAGGGATGAGAGATCTTGAAGGGATGGGATATCCATCACATGGACGCCCAAGTCTAGCGGAATGGACTGGGCGAATTTCAAAAATTTTCTCCCATCTTTGTAGGGAATTGAATTCCCTATTTTAGAAAAACAAATTTTTCAAGGATCAATCTTGAACCATGAACCAAACCAGATCTGAACCAAAAGGAGTAGGAGGGAGGATGTACCTGATACGGAGAATTAGTATCTCCCAATGGAGGTGTTCACGCCCAAGGAAGGATCCAAAATCTGCTCCCACTGAAGATTGCGCAGT